ATGCCATTAATTGGATCATCAAGTTGCCAGCGTGTTGATAAATAACAAACATATATAATAAATATATATCTATTTATATATATAGATGTATATAATTACTTTTGTATGCACTTAATTTTCGCAAGTATGAAAAACGAGAAATGAGAGTAAAGCGCATAAGCAAATTAATTAAAATGTGAGCGATGCAGTAGTCAGCCAATCAGTCTATCAGTCAATCAATCAATCAATCAATGCCCCACATCTGGGGTGGCTTTTAAGCATTAGCTGCTTGTCAGCGACATTGCATTCTCATGTATGCTGCCTGCTGCCCACCTCCCTCTTCTGCAAGCATCCTTCCATTCCACTCTCCATTCGATACTCGATGGGCCCACCGCAAAAGAGCAGAGCTCCACCAATCGGGCATATCATGCACTTCATGGCAAACACTCGCAAATGCATTTGCTAGCCAAATAGACAATTGAACAGACAGACGGTGCATACAATTTTCGGAGGCACTGTTCATTTCACGCTGCGCTCGGTCAGCGTTGGCCAAATGTGTGCTTGACATTTTCATTATGTTTTTGGCCAGCAAACGTGCGCCATTTAATACCAAAAGCATTTTGGTTGATGATATTGTTGTTCGATGTGCTTGTTGTTCATTGTTGTTTATCGTTGTTGTTCTTTGCTGTTCTTGTTGTTGTTGTTGCTGATGGTGTCTGGTTGCACTGTAAATGGCTCGTGCTGTTGCTTGTATTTTGCATACAATTTCTTAAAAGTTTGTGCGTTTTGTTGGGGTTGTTGTTACAATATATTCGAAGATTTTTATCGCTTTTACTCAGTCACACACATATATAAATAGAAGTAGCTGTTGGTTTTAATTCTATTATTATTATCATTGTTATTTAATTATAATTATTAATCTCATTGTTATTATTTTTATTTTATTTCATTTTATTTTTATTATATTGTACAATTCTTCTTACTATATACGTAAATGGTAAACTAAATTAAATCTGCCAATAGGTTTTCATAAACTATACACATATTTTGAAGTTTTTAATGGTATAATTAAAATGTTGTAAGAGTTTTATATATTGATTTTATTTTCGCTAAACAATGTTCCATTTTTGCTTTGTTCACATCTCTCTCTGTCTCTTCGTATTTAATAAAATAAATAATTTAAACATAAATATAAATTCGCTTATATTATTCAAGAGTACTGTTGAATACATTCACGTTGTTTTTGCAAAGTGACATTCTGGCGACTTTGTTGTCACGTATTATTGCAATGAAATTGACTTTTGTGGGTTTATTCCCATACAGTTTCAATTTAATTTGTGGAAAGAGAAAATGTATTCGTTTATGCATGGCTTCAGTTTTCTATGCCAACTATCTGCTGATACCATGGCCAGTTGTTCGGAACCATCCCATTCCTCGTTTGGGTGTCCACTCATAATAGCCATTTCGGGACAAGTGCATGCAGATAGTCGTACTTTACCCTTATGTGGCCCTCTGCAAAACTTTAATTTTTGGCAACGCGAATTGGATTTGCGGGTTATAAGCCACGTTTATAAATTACTGATTCGCCTATGGTGCTTAGTGCGTGGACACAACTGTGGAATGTGACCAGTTTAGTTGGCAAATGAATAAATTAAATATTTTATTATTAACAAGCAGCTCAAATGTTTCCCAGTCAAGATCCTTGCACAAATTTGGCTCTTTGATTTTCATTGAATTAAGACTTGTAAATTGACAGTAGTTCGCATTAAACACAGAAAACAATCAGTCTTGACCAACTGACCACTTATCCAGCAGATTAAGCCAAAGATTTCTAGAGTAGAGTTTATGTGGACATAAAAATTATTTTTCGCCAATTTGTGGCATAAATAAAACCAACAACACTAAGTAAGTCAAGATAGTGGTCAATATTCGAGAATTTGTCTGCATATATCCCTCAACTAGCAGATATAACATATTAAATCGCTGATATTCAAAAAACAATTAAGAAGCATTTATAAAGACATCTAAAGCAGTTAACGTCAATTTCGCACATCAAAATGATAAGCGAAAAAAATGAACAATATAATGTGGTGATGAAAATATAATGTTATAAGCCACTTAAGCGCTAAACTATAAAATTTATAAGTAAAAGTGCGCCAGACAAGCGCTGTCAACAACTATATACCCTGCACTCAAGTCAGTCACCTATCGTTGACTTTAAAACGCAAAGAAAAATGAAAAATAATTTCCATTTATTGGTGCAGAGTGCATTTAAATACGTATTTACTAATCGGCATATTTTAATTATACAAAATATTGTGCTGTACCTTTGCCTTAGCCAATTAGTACAGTGTACGTTAATGAATTTAATGCAAAAGCAAATGGGAAAAATAATGAAAAATTCATATTGAAATCGTATTAATTCATATTGACATCAACAGTAAATATATTAAAAATGTACATCAAAGGCATTTCGAACTGAACTCAATATTTTGTTCCACTTAATTCTGAATGAGTTTCGCAATGTGAAATTTAAGTAAATTAAAGTAAATTCGGTACAGATACAGATACATTTATGGTGAGCCAATGTATCTGAACGGTAAGCATATGTGAAAGGAATGATCGATTAATAAACATATGTAAATACTACATGCAAACAATGTAATTTAATGCGAAGTAATTTCATCCAGAATCTTTTCACGCCGCCAAGCGGGAAATGTGTAAAAGAGAGAGGCAGACTGAGAGAGAGAGAGAGAAAGAGAGAGAGAGAAATTGCCGGCATATAAAATCGTGTGCCGCTTGCTTTTTAACTCAGCCTCAAAAATTTCTATACGATTCTATTGTCAATTAATTTTGGCTTTTATTGCTCCTTTCGTCCATAAATTTATGAGGCTTGCAATATTATGCAAATGCGTGCAAATGATTTACTCGTCTGTGGCAAGACTGACTTATTGCCCAAAAATACATTTGGTTGCATTCTTTTCCCTCAACGCATATTTTTTGCCAAGCCCAGCTGTCTACAGCTAAAGTGTTTTAAGATACTTTTATCTTCAGTTCTTTGATAACTCTTTTCGAAATCATATATTTCAACGTTTCAATTTCAACTATCTTGAGACTTCAACGAGATTCATAATTATGTTTAGGTAAGTACTTCATAAGTAATTTGAGAACTGGAAGATTCTATATACATATGTATATACTTAAAGAAAAACATTCGAAAAATAATATTCCCAAAAGCCTGAAGACCAACAGTATTTATATTGCTCATATCTAGATAGCTCAATTAAAATGCTTTTAAAATGTCCGAAGATATACAACATATTTATTATGAGTCAAAACTACTTTTTAAAGAGCTGCTGCGTAACTTTCGAACACGCTATAATATACATCAGATTTGTATGTTACATTTTAAACTCTATATGCGTTAGAGCATTCAAGTTTCGTTGCAATCCTATGTGTGAGTTTATTTTTATTTTTTGGCATTGTGGCAGCTAAGTACTTTGAAATGGCAATTAAGTGGTAGCTGAAAAAGCATTCCGGCCACAAACAGACACTCGATAAACGGACACTTCAATTTGCACTTCATCTGTCAGAAAGCACACCCTCATACACAGACTCACACGCACACACATTCATAGCCTTGTGGCTGCTAATTGCAAATTGATTATGCCATATGCATTAGTTGATACATTTATAATTGTGCGTTTCATTTGTCGGCTCTTTCAAGTGCCTGAAACTGTGTGTGTATGTGGGGGTTGAGGGGGGACTGATTCAGCTGAGTAGGTGGATAGTATATGTATATGCTGTATATGGGTGGCGGGGTCTACACCAAGACGCTTCAGACAAAACAACAGGCAAACATCGAAGCAGACAAACAACCAAATAGCTAAGCACCGAAAATAAACTAAGAAGTCGAACGAGAAAGTTGTAAGAGATCTGAAGAGTCAAGTGGCTCGGAGCTGTGTGGAAAGCGGCCGGGAAGATGATGAAGACGACGACGAGGCACATAAAAACCACTATAAACTTTATTAATTTTAATTAAAAACACTATACTCACTATGAGAGTTAAATTCCCGTGCACATCTTTTTGGCTGTGTGTGCGTGACCATTGGGCAATGTTTTCGTTGTTGCCTCGCTGCGCATTGTAAGCCGCTGAACGCGTCCTGGCCAGCAGGCGGTGAGCAGTTAAAATCAGGAAAGCCATCATCTAAACTTATCCAAGCAACTGGCGACTCCCAAATGCCCTTACTTCTTATCAAATGATACAAGTTAATGCACTGCCATCAATTATTTACAATTATCTAAGTACTTAAAGCACAAAGCTAAAAAAAAATTAATTACTATTAAATGATTAAAATAGTAATTGGTTTTTACTTTATTATTATATGAATATTATTATTTTAATTATTTAAATCAAGTGCCAAAATCTTTTGGTGAATATTTAGCCTTCTATGTTTAATATTTAAATAACATTTTATTTACGTTACAAATAATTGTTAGCTGGCCTTATATTTGAATTACCAATTTAATTTTCATGATTGCAATAGCATTAATAATCCAAAATTGCTAATTATATACACATATGTTCTTAATTAGTTTTAATTACTAATGTAATTAAAATGGTTTTTTGTTTTTGTTATAAATGAGCAATGCCACAATTCTGATAGTGTATTATAATGAAGAAGCTGCAACTGAAAAATCTGGTCAAAGTTTTGCTGAAAAGGCGTAAGACATTTAAAAAATGTGGGAGTTGAGGAGGCAGAGGGATTGTGGGTCAGTGGTTGAGGGTTGGCTATGGACTAAGGGCTAAGGACCAACGACTAAGGCTAAGGGTTTGGGACTCGGAGCCTGGGGTTGGCCGCTGTAGAGTTGCTTATTTATTGTTTTGGCGGTGCGCGGCAGTTGGCCGCTTAATGCTATAAAAAACAAAGGTGCCATAGCGATAAACAATAAAGACTGAGCGCAGATGGGTGGTCTGAGCGCTGCTAAACGTTTTATGCAAATTTATGACTTAAAAACAATTTTTTTTGTTGGTTGTTATTGTTGTTTATTATTAATTTTAAATAGCAGTCCAAAATAAGAAATAACGAAGTATGAATATACATATATACATATATATATAAATATATATAAATAAAACAAAATACAGATTAAATGTTACCTGACCAGTTAATGCAGACACGCACAGACACACTCGCACACCCATTCACACACTCACACCGACAATGGCATTCAGACTTGTGCTTAATCTAGTACTTAGTTGGATCCCCGTGATGTTGATGTTACCGATTTAGTGCTGGATTTTCTGGCCCGCGTATTCAATGGACCAAGAAGACTGAGCACCACCGGTAACAGTATTAAGCCGTGCGCCGCACCAATCAGCACAATGCCCAAATACATGCGAAAATAGAAGACCTGAAAAATTTGCGAATTGGAAAAGCCCAGCACCACAATGCCAGCGAATTTGGTCAACGTAATTCCGGACAGAACACTGCTCCCCGTAACGATGAGCGAATGCAATGCCCGCTGCTGGGCATTGCCCTCGGCCTGCTTGAAGGAGCGCACAATGTGCGCCACAAACTCCACGCCAATGCCAACGCATACGACCAGATTGACCAATGAGATGGCATTCAGTGTGATTCCCCACGCCCACATCATGCCACCCATATTGATCAGAATGCAGATGACCATGAAAAGCACAATCGCCGCCGATGTAATATCCATTCCGGTCAGCAGCAATGTGACCAAGAATATGCTCGCCAGCGACAGACCCAGCGAGAGCAGTGCATCATCCCACACGGTCAGATACTGTTCGTAAAAGATGAAGAACACACAATACGGAAATACTTCCGTATCGATATTGTTCCTTGCAAACATCGTATTAATGTTAGATTGGACGCGACGCGCCTCCCGCAGTGCGGCAACAAATTGAGCCGACGTTGTCGATGTTGTCGAGTATTGCATAAAAGACGTGTCCAAAATCGTCGACTGTCCCTCATCGTCCAGCGTATAAATGATGGCCTGCAATGATTTCACACAAAAATTAAAAACATCAAATAAAATAATCGTAGTATCGAATACTTTAAGAACTTTCAGTCGCTGCTAAATTGTAATCATTTTATAGAGTTGTTGATAAATAATTTTAGTAGACAAGCTCTTAATTTTAGAAATTAAAGTTTTCATTTTGATATATGTACTTACATCCGCATAGGATGCTCGACCCGCCTTGGCACACTCAGCATCGGGTAGATCGGAGAGGAAAAATGGCACATATTTGTCAAATGTATCGGAGCTGGGTCGTAGGCCGTTTTCAGAGAATTCTCGCTCACAGGGCAGACAATCGTCGCTCTTGGAATCTAAATAGGAAATAAAGCCGTATGTGGGAGATGAGAAATATGTGGGTATGGTGCACACTTACTGCTTGGACAGAAGCTACCGGTGGTAATATTGTATTTACAACAATCGCCGATACTGATCCAATCAATGTAGTCATCGATCCATGAGCTTGCCGGCCTGGCCAGGCCGGTGATATCTGGATAGCGAGACTGGGTGTAGAGCTGAACGGACAGTGAATCCTCATTGCACTCGACGCCGCCGCAAATGAAATTCTGATGATCGGTATTGGAGTAGTCGAGTCCGGGCTTGAGCACCCAATAGACGGGCGCCCCCATCGACAATAGATCGTCCATATAAAGGAAATACTTGACCACATGCGATTCCTTGGGCATGGACATAACCTGATCCAATCCCGCTTCAATTGAAGGCATCACCATCAGTGACAGGCAAGTGATCACAGTGAACACCAGCAACACGATCATCTTCACGGGTCTGAAGTGTGAGAAATGCAAATGATTTACATTGTTTTCACAAATGTGCACAAAATAAATAATGCTTTACTCACTTGGATAGCAGGAAGGGCGCATAAAAGTTCTTGAAGAGCTTCTCGATGTGGCCAGCCTCATGGGATTTCTGGGGCTCAACATTGGTGCGCATACAGCACAGCATATCCAGACGTCCGTCCTCATGGCGACGTTCATCGATGGCCATCAGGGCCACAAAGGCGGTGATCTGCAGCAGAAAGTCGAGCACAATGGCCATGGCTGCGTACATGGCAAATGTTTTCACGGCTGGCATATCGCAGATGGCACCGATGGCGAAGCAGGCGAACTCACTGCTGGCCGTCTGCAGAATGGAGGGTGCCACCTGGCCGACTGCCTCGCCGATGGCCTCGTGTGTGGTCGCATAGCGACTGCGATCCAATCTCTGGTATGAGTGCACCATTATGAATATGTTGTCGACGCCAACGGCGAGCACTAGAAATGGCAACACCTCGATGGCCAGCATTGTGGTCGTCACACCCAAATATCCCCAGAAGCCCAGGCTGCAGAGTATCGATGCGAGCACAATAACAATTCCACTTACGGCCAACATAATCCGCGATTCGCGCAGGAAGCCCACACAGCTGCGTATGCGTCCCAGAGCGATGGACACATAGAGGAACATCACCACATAGCTGATGACAACGGTGCCCACCTCACCCTCGGACAGCTCCACAATAGCATCTTGAATGGATCGCTCCGCCGAGTAGGCAATGTCCAGACTATCGCTGCTGTAGTTCTTCATGAAGTCAATGAAGCGCTTCTCCCACACAAAACTTGGCTCCAGCAGTGATTCATCGTTTTGGTTCTTGCCTAGGAAGGTCAGCACTAGGCCGGTGGCTAGCATATAGTCGGGATCCTCACCAGCGCCAACTTTTGGCATTCCGCCAACAGCAATGCCCGGCTCAATGGGTCCGCCATAACTGCTGAAGCAGTTCTCCATCATCGGCACGCTATTGGAGTGTATTAAATAAAATATATAAATTAATATTATATATTATTATGGCATCCCTAGCTAGAACTTACCGCAGGCAATCCTCCAATTGATTGAGATAGTTGATGGTGTTGTTTTTGCTGTCTACGTAGGAGTTCTGGAATTTGCTCATGTCATTCTGAAAGTAGCCATAGATGGACTGAATCAAACAGTCATCAACCGTGGGCTTAACTCCCGGATACAGAACGGGTGCATAGCATGTCGTGTCCAGGCCAGCACCCTCCGACATGCCCAGCTGCATTATCTGCTCCTGCAGCTCAAATACCTCCTGCAGGAAATTCTGTTCATAGGCGGGTCCAAAGGTGAGCACTCCACTATCGGTCTCATGTGTAAACTGAGAGAAATGAAAGCATTTATTATTCAATTCAATCAAATTCGAAGAAAAATTTGTATTAAAAATTCAATTCAATTTTCTACTACAGATCGAAAAACGAATTATTGATTGAAATTCTTGAAACTTGATCTAATTTCATTGAATTTAATTACCAGAAAGGTTTAAAATATTTGTATTCATAGTTAAGCTCAAGGAAGAGAAGGAGGAGAGCACATACCGTATCCTTATTCACTGGCTTTATGAAAAGCTGATTTGTGCGATAGAAAGGCCCGAAATGCTGATCGAAGTAGTTCTTCTCGATGCGAGTTTGACTCTGCTCGCTGGCCCACAGCTCGACGGGATCTGTGGTCACTTTCATGTAGAGCACACCATAAGATAGTCCACCGATCACCCATGAGCACAAGGCCAGCACCAAAACCGGATGTTTGGCACAGAAAGTGCCCCAGCTGCGACAGCCGCGATAAATGAAATCGCCATATAGGGTGGGCATACAAACCGTGGGACCTCGTCGATCTCCTGTCGCACCCCAGCAAATGAAGCCGATAATTAGGACACCAAACACCAGAGAAATTACAAATGTAACACCATACAGTCCGGCCACCTGCCAGGGACTCACGTAGCCAGTTGGCGCCTCTGTCAGCGGACAGGACTGCTCGCAATCGATGCAGGCGCAGGGAAAATTGCCCGGATAGCTCTGTCCGCAGTCCAATGGGAATACATCCAGATATATGTCGTCGGAACCTTCTTCCGCATCCTCGGACCACAAGTAGTTAATGTCAAACGGCACATAGTCGCTGAGTGAGGTATCGCCCATGAAACGATACCATTTGCGATAGTCGCAGGTCTTCGCATTGTACGCACCACAGGCCAGATCCATGGCGGGTCGACCCGTTTGCGAATGATGTATGCCAATGCAGCTATCGTAAATCTTTCTAGCTTTCTCATCAATCAGGCGGTAATCGAGGTGCGTCACAAAGTCCACGTTATTGGGATTCTTGTCGAGATAGGTGGCGAGGAAGAGCGACTGATTTTTTGCACAGGTCATCGCGCATATGGTGATACCCATGTTTAATGTGCAGGTGGGGCACCTGGAGTAGACACCATCTGCCTGCGTCATTCCCGAATCCATGGAGCGAATCTGATCAGCATCGCAACATAGCTTCAGTGCATCCTCTCCAGTTTCGCCCTTGTATTCGGCATACAACATCGGGCAGCGTCTGGCGAAGTCTGCCTCAGCACTAGGATCGTTTAGGGGTAACGCTGGGCCGGAATACGCGAGATTGACGATATTGTTACCGATCTTATGACTTTCGCCATACCAAACGCAATCGGCTCTAACATCCAGCTGCACAGCTGTCACAATTAACAGCGCAATCAGCTCAAATTTCACATTCATTTCACTTAGTCAAAAAATTACAACAAAAAAAGAGAAAGGAAGAGAATTATTTTTCCAGCACACTTGACCAGCAGGCACTGGAACTGACCACCCGACTAATTCGCTAACTGACTAACAACTGAAAAGTTCCAGCTGAGACAAAAACCACCTCGGCCCCAAAAAAGCCACCCCGATGTGTGTGTGTGTGTGTGTTTGTGTGCGCGCGACGCACTATCTGCAAGTGAAGTGTTCGCTGAACAGGGCTGATAAGATTTCGGGCGAACGATTTGGCGATTAGCTTTGAGCTCCATTAACAACCAGGTGGAAGGGTTTATTCGGGTAGATAAGCCAGCTGTTGGCAGCCGGTCAGACAATCGATTAAACTGTTATAATTGTTGTTCTGGTTACATTTTATAGTCTATTGTCAATAAATTTATGCTTAACATTAGCAGCAAAAATAATTATTATCATGAAAGTGTTCAATTAGCATTCATGTTGTTAAGCGTTACCTTTTTTTGTCATCCTTTGCCGAACTGAAAATTGTTTATTCTTTTATAAATTCTTATTAGAATAGACTTTGAATATTTATTTTATATATTTTTCGTAATAAAAATGACTCAAGTTGCATTTACGCCAATCTCTAATCAACACATTTAAGATTAAAAACCAACACAAAATATTTCTAATTATAAAATTAAATATTATTAACAGTTAATTGGAATATTTGAATCAGACTCTCCAACCATTTGTAAAGGAATTTGAATAGTTTTAAATAAATAAAGCCAATTACATGATACCAGCAATATGTTTTATTTATACATTTAATATATGTACACATTATTTCAATTTGTTTGCCTGTCTTGGTTATAACAAGTAAGTGTGAGAATTTGTGATTCACTTGGTAGATTATCTGCCTTTGACTTTCCGTAGCTGATTCGGTAATTGTGGTTACTGTGGGCAGCTGTATAATTTTTATGGCCTACAAGTGTTCATTTTTTCGACATTGTTGAGGCTTTGGCGACTATTGCTTATCTGGATACAGCGAACAGGTGTTCACTTGAGAAATCGACAACCATCGACGGTGCAGTCGCCAAACCGTTAACTCAATTTAAACGCGACTCGCTTTTATCGCAGGCAGCTGCTTAATGGTCTTTAACAGATCGGTGTAAACTAAATCCAGGCTGATAACAAGAAGACGGCGTTACCTATACCCACATATGAAAATAACAGGAATGCACTGATAAGCAATTGGGAAGTCGGCATTATCATCTATAGTTATTTGAATCATTAAACATGATTTTATCGTGATTTTTCTTATATTTAGTACTTATCCGTTTCTAATGAAGATACTATTATACTAGTACGGTTACATGTTGCTATCTTGATTTTAACGGTACTGTACCGATGCGTAATGGTTCAATAAAAAATAAATAGAAAATAAATGATAATATTCCAGTTGGGTACGCAACTGACTGAAAAATCCTCTAGTATCTGCTCTTAATATTGAAAGAAGTCTACTTGCATTTGAGCAAAATAATTATCAACATCATATATATATATATTATATAGCTCGTTCGATATTTTAAATCAATAATTGAATTGAGGTGTCAGAAGGTGCATCAATAATGATACTACAATGCCAATGCTTAATATTGCCTGAACTCATTAAAAATGGTTAAAAAGGGATTAATGAAGTGTATATATATATATATATATATGTATATATATATTTGATCACGAGCTACACACAACTTTAAGCTCATCTACCTTAAACATTTCCGATAATCATGCAACTATCAATAGAAAGATTTTTTTTTTTTTGTCAAAACTACATCTGCAGTGTAGAAAAAAGTTGTTTTTTAAGTCAAATTTTAGCCATGTTATAGAAGAAAATGCTTGAAAGACAAGAGTCTACGAATAAACATTGGTCTGTCTATTAATACAAATGTGGCTATGTGTGACTAATGTGATCTTGACTGTTCAAATTTGATTTTAATGTGTCCGTGACGACTTCAAATTGAGGTTAGCTTTGCCTTTAGCAGCACCAAAGCTTTCGGCCACTGTTAACACTGATTGTTTAACAGACTGTTAACATGGTGTTCTCTTTTGTTGTGCAGTGCTTCTCTGCTGCTGCTGCATCTGCTGCTGCTGCTGCCGGCTGTCAACCGCTGCCAACTGCAGAAAGCGGCGGCTTTATTTATTTTTTTAATGCCGGGCAGAATGCTATTGAACTCACACACACACACACACGTGTACAGAGAGAGAGAGCGAGAGAAAGAGAGATGGGGAGAGACAGAGACAGAAAGAGATAGAGTAAGAGAGAGAGAGCGAGAGAGAGAGAGAGAGAGAGAGAAGAAGAGTGAGTATTTTGCATTTTGGCAACTGCTGCTGTTGCTGCAAAATGCATAATGCATAAGTTGCAAGCCGGCATTGAGGAAGCAGCTAATTTGATTAGTTGCTCGCTTGCCTGTCAACTGAGAAAACAAATGCGAAAAAGACATTCGAAGAAATCAGAAGTCAGCTTAACTAATTTTCACAACAAAAAAAAAACGAATGAAACGAACTGTAAATTGAATATGGCACACGTGTGGACACGTGTTCTCAAAATCCTAGACCTACATCAAGAATCCAAAATGCTGACTGCGACTGCGGCAGCAGCAGCAGCAGCGTTGCGCATCTGCAAAGCAGTTACTACCCCCAAACTCTCCTCCCGTCATAAGCAGAGCAATGTTCCCGAAAATCTGTTCCCGTTCCCGTTCCAGAAAACGTTCCAGGCGCATTCTGGAAAATTGTGTCAAGCTGACGACACAATTTTCGAATCGCATGCCCGGAGTTGCAATTGCTTCCCAAAAAAAAGAAAACACTCACAAAAAAAACAAAATAAAGCACGAAATGATAAAAAGTACAGGGATAGAGAGAGAGACAGAGTTCAGACAAGCAGACAGTTGCGAACACAGAGATAGAGAGAAACAAGAGCGAAGAGAGTAGAGAAGGGAGAGAGAGATGAAGAGAGAGAGATGAAGAGAGAGAGAGAGAGAGAGAGCGAGCTTAGTTTTGCTTCTGGCTTTTGGCGTTGCACAAAATAACGGTAAAGGTAAAGTGCGCTCTAACGGTACAGTAGCGTAACAGGAAGTGGTGCATTAACACGCGCCGCAGCTGACGACGTCGGCCCAAAAACTAACAGCTAACTTTAACACTTGCCCGGGCTCTCGAAAGCAACGCGTAACTCGCACAATAAAAACCATAATAATCAATCATAATAATCATAATCATAATAATCATAATAATAATAATAATAACGACGACAGCAACTATAACAAAAAACTCAATAAACAGCTCCCAACAAGAAGAAGAAAAAGAAGAAGAAGCTGATGAAGAAGTTGCAGTTGTTATTAAGGTAGAAAAAGAAGAGCGCGTTTTTGTTGTTGTGCGAGTGTGCGTGTGTGTGTTTGTGTGCCTTGTTTTTAATATTAATTTAATGTTTTTTGTGTGTGTGTTGACATTTGAATAATGCGTAACTCTCTTCAATTGCATCACCAAATAAAAAAGAAAAATCGCCAATTGCAGGCTGAACTTTTTACCTTTTGGCTTCTTCGACTTTCGACGTCACTATAAAACTGTGACGTTGCTGCTCTCTCTCCCCCTCTGTCTTTCTCTCTCCCCCCTTGTGCGCGTGAGTGTGTGTCATCAGTTTTTGCATTTTGCAGCCGCAAAATGAGCAAACGAATGACGTAGATCCCCATTGATGTTCTGCTGCGTTTCATTTCGCAAATTCGCAATTCGCGTTGCGGCAAAAACAGTCGAAAAACCCCAACAAACAAAAACCGGCTAAACAGCGAGAGAGAGAGAGAGAGAGAGAGAGAGAGAGAGAGAGATGGAGCGCGCGAGAACGAGACTCTGTGTGTGTGTTTGTGAGAGGGAGGATGTGGATGACGCTGCCGAATGCCGACTGCCGAGTGCCAAAAATGGTCGAGCACGTAAAACGTGCACGCGTGCAGCATGCAGACGGACGGCTGGACGGACGGACGGGCAGTAAAGCGGACAAGAACTTTTTCGGTGTGAATGCCTTCTGCACAAAAAACGTGGTTTTTCGGCTGTCAGCGTTGCAGTTGGCTTCTCAGTCGCCGTCGCCGTCGCCGTCGCCGTCGCAGTTGCTGTTGGCGTCAACGTTTTAGCTCTGCTGCGTTTTTATATGATTGTTGCAATTCGCATTCTCATTTCGCACTCGCTCGTAACTGTTTGTGAGCTTAACAGCCTCAACAGCCTCAACAGCTTTAACAGTCGACACTTAACAGTTTTAATGATGCGTCACTGTTAGCTCGAGACGAGGGCACTCTAAACAACAATAATTTGTGTTGCATACCACATGGCGCTAATTGAAAACTCTTTTCCGAGATCATCGCGTGCGCTTTACACACGCATCTGTGTGTATATGTGTGTGTGTACGTGTTGAATTATCGCGATTACGATTACACCTGCGTGGAAATTAAGTTATTCAATTTGCATAAGGCCGCCCAGATAGTTAACAGTCTTTGTACTTTAACAGATTTAGATGCAAATTAAAACTGAATAATTATATGGAATTTATTTAGGTGCTTCAACACCCAATTATCGCTTGTAAATAAGAAATCAGTTGCGTTCTCAAAAGCAATTCTGATTCAAATTGGTGATTGCGAGACGATTTTTAATGCAGGGCTTCAAGCAATTTCATCTTCATCTTAACTTGGCCAAATTGTTTGCATTTAAATATATTTACTGTCAGTAAATAATTATTATTACTTATAAACATTGTATTATTTTCTGTTAGAGTCAGCATTATTATTGTTTATTTATGATATCATACTCCTCTATATACTAATATTAGTATATTCTTGATCACGGCTTTCTCTGGTTTCCTTCACGCTGAATTCTCAAGTGTCTTAATATTATCAGCCAAAACTAAAAACAGATCAAATCTAAAATGTTGCATACTTTAGATATTTTGAAAAATGGTACAACATCCACAACCATTAAAGTTGTCAAATTAAAAATGTCTTTCGCCTCATTTCTCATTAGCTGGCTGGCAATGGCGTCTCTGTCTCCGGCTCCGTCTCCGGCAGCAAACTCCGCCGTTTCTGTTGCCTGCCCTTCGCCTTTGGCTCTGAAATTATGATGTTGCAGCTCTTGTTGCTCTCGCTGTTGAATGTGCTGGTTGCTTGCTTGTTTGCTTGCCTGCTGCTTCCGTCAGATTGCCGGAAGTTGCACGAAGTGCACAAAAAGCTTTCGGGTTTCAGTTCTCTGGGCCGCTGTTAAACAACAGAGCTTCTTCCAAATGCAAATGTTGTCTGACCTGACAAATTGGCAATGGCCACAAGAGACAAAGCGCAAACAACAACAACATACGAGACACGAGCAGCGCAACAGTCGTCGCCGTCGCAGTAGTAGTAGCACTCACAGCCGCAGTGGCGTCAGCGTCGCAGTCAACGCTTAACATAAGCATTTTGTTGTTGTCAGCATTTCGGCCGTCGCATTTGGTCTCATCACCATCGCAGTCGCATCTCGTTCTCATTCGTGTGCGGCGCTTCACCGCTAAGCGACGTCTGAAATGTATAACGCTGCCTAACTTGCTGCTGCTGCTTCACGACCACGACGACGACGTCCACTATAATAAGTATGTATGTGTGTGTCTATCTGACTGCGTGAGTGTGTGTATGTATGTGTGCGTGTGTATGTGTGTGGAGAGTGAACGCTTTCATGTCTGCATGCTTGTGTTCGTGTTCGGTTAATGTGTTTCGTGCGCGTCGCTTTAGGTCGGCAAGCCGTTCGGTTTTCGCATTCGCTCGTTCGTTTAGTTTCGGGGCCGCTGGTGCTGCTGCTGCGACTGCTGCCTACTTTGCCTGCTGCTTGCTGCTGCTGGCTGCTTCCAAACGTTCGCTAGCCTTGCAGCAAAAACAGTTTACATTTGTTTTTCCGCGTGCTCGCACACGTTGACTGACACGGTCTGCGACTCAGCGAGTGAGCGAGCTTTGTCTGTCTATGTCTGTGCCTGTGTGTGTGTCTGTGTATGTGTGTGTGTGAGTCTCTGTCTCTCTGCCTCTTCACTCCCTCTGTCTGTGTGTTTGTGTGTGTGTGTGTGTGTGCCGACCCGGAGTTGCCGCAGAGTGACCGGAGTTGCATGGCCGAAACATAAAAAACACACTCGAGCTTGCTCCAGTTACTGGCCTGGTCTAGTCCGCACCGGTCAGCTACTCTCTGCATTTGCTGTAACTGCAACTGCCACTGCACCTGCCACTACAACAGCTGACAACAACTGCAGCAGATCAGCACTATTACATTATTATTAAATCCAACCAGTAAGCAACAAAACTATTTACTAGCAACAATTTTCTAGAGTTTTTCATTTTCATTTTGAGTGCTCAAATTTTGATTTTCAATTTAAATTGAAATTTGACTGTAGTTGGGTTTCGGCTCTTGCCACATGCCGAATTGCTGCCGAGCTGACCTGAGCTGAGCGTTGGAGTTGCAGCTAAGCTAAGCTAAACTCTGCTAAAAGAACTAAGGACTATGCACGGCTGTTGTGTCGAGATCGGAGCGTCGCGCAGAAGTGCATTGCCGAGATGCGGAAACGGAAGCTCAGAAACTTTGACAAAAACACAATTTATACTTTCAACTTGCCACAATACTTTTGGCGAATTGAGGACTGCAGTGCGCATAACCTAAACCAAAAGCTAACATTAAATTAACACACACATTAGTGCACCACACACACACACACATACAGAAAACTTGAATAGTTCTCATTTTTTGCATTTTTTTCAACATTTTTTTAATGTGGTCCTTAAACGCGGCAGCAACAATAACGACGCGCGGTGTTAAAAGCTGTCAAATAAAAAAAAAACGTTTAAAAACAAAAATGTAATAATCCTAATGCTTTAAGCAAAAATGTTACAAAAACAATATATGCAGTGTGCGTGCATTAAGAAAAAATAGAAATTAAAAACAACAAAAACACAGCAACTATAATAATTATAATCATGCAACAGTAGCAGCAGCAACTACAACAACATGCCCAACAACAGCAACTGTGAACAAGTAACAAACGTGTGAGAACAAAATTTTAACAAAAAAAATAAAAAAAACGATAAATATGAAAATCAAAAACTGAAAAGCCAGCTGTGAAAACTGTTGGAAAGCACCGACGCAGCTTCCTTTGAGCTCTGTGAAGTGTGTGTGTGTGGGTTGGTTTGTGTGTGTGTGTGTGTGTGGCACATATGTACATAATTTAAAGTTGAAACATTTGAGTTACTTGTTCTTTCGTGATATATTTTTCATGATGGCCTTTGAAGTCTGACGAATCGCAATTTATGCGTACGTTTTGTTTTGTGTATTTCTAGCGCTGATTTTTGATTGCAATTTGGTTTCTTGTTCTTTGTTTTTTTTTGTATTATTTTGTTTGAAGTTGTAATATAATAAAATAACTGTGTGCTAGTGAAATAATTTAAAGAAAATTGCCGTCTTTCCCAGATGATGAATTATGCAGCATTCTTTCATTGTATTTGGGTAAAAAGGCGTTTTTTTTATGTCTGATTCTTCAAAGTGTTGTTTTATGTTGAACACATGTTTTTGTTTTGTTTTTCTTCATTAAGCTAAAAAATCTCTACAAAAAATGTTTCGGTTCCAGAAAATATTTTATCTTTTCATATCAAAATAATAATGTTTACTGATCATGTGGGAATTTGTTTTAATCCTAAATGTAAATTGTTTTTTTTTAATGCCAAATGCTTGGTTCCCTAATGTGCTTATATAAATGTGTCAAACAATTATTCAAAACAATTATTATTGCCACTTTTGAGTTTGTTTTCTTCTAGTGTTATTAGATAATTTTGAAAGTATTTATAATTTTATTCAAGTAAAACTTATAACTTTTGTGTTCTTTGTTATTATTATTTTAAATACGTTTTATAAGAATTATGGCGTCAGCTGCTGTGCAAAATTTAGACAAAACAAAAACAAAAAATAAAAATAAATAAAAAAAGAATAAAAAGAACTAATTTTTGGCTGTTTTTTACTATTTTTTTTTGTGTTTTTCTATTTTTCTCTTTGTGTGGCGCTCTCATTTCGCTCAACTTGTCGAAATCAAATAAATCTTCAGTTTGAAATGATTTCTCACGTCTTTCCCGGCAAGCATTTGTTTTTCTTTATTCTCTTCTATTGTGTGCGTGTTTTTTGGTTTCTGTTTTCGAAATTCCGACAATTCCAATGTTCACAGAAATCGGGGAAATCATTCTAGTTCCATTCCGCAAGGTCTATTAATAATTTGATGCATTGCCATCATCGTCATCAGTGTGGCCGTTGTTTTCTCGCTTCTCACGTTTTTAGTGTGCCCCTTCACATCTCCAAAAAAAAAAATATAATCTGTGGCAAGCGATGCCAATTTGAAGCTCCTTTCTTATTTTTAGACAACCTGATCCAAATTGATTGTGTGACTAATTTACTTCGCACAAGTGCTTAAAGTGTTATCTAATTGTATCTTTCAAGCTACGATTGTGCGAATCGTTTTTCTATGCGGAAATTATTATTATTATTATTAGTATTATTATTATTATTGGAGGGGGAAGCTGCACCGTGACCTATTTGATCTATTGTGCCCCCTTCTGAGCCACCGTATGCGGATATATAAATATTTGTTTGATCATCAGCATGGTTCATATAGGTTCTATGCATATAAATTCTATTACAAAAATTAGTTCGAGTATCGTTACTATTCAGCCTCCCAACTCTGAAAATAAAATAGTACTAAATGGAAATAGCTAGGAAAATAAGCTGAAGTTGTATGTTTTTTTTTAGAAAATGCTTAAATACTTATCACAAAACTTAAATACAACAAAATAATACAGGAAAAGAAATAATAAATCTGTTAATTAAGATATAAATGTAATTTTGGTCAAATGAATACGTTTCTGTGAATATTTGCAGATAATAACAGCTCGCACATTTCTCAATAACAAAAGGAATTTTAACGAATTTTAAATATTTGTACTAACGAATTTATATCATATTTTTATCGGATGCTATTGTTGCAAGCTCTTTCTATTTGATGACGTTCTTTTTTTAAATAATTGCATGCAAAAGCATATCAATTTTTGAAAATTTGGAAATCCTAATTTGTTGTTTTTCCCTTTCTGATTAAGAGACTATTGTTTTGATGCACTTTTCTGATATGCTGGTTGTAATCCCTTTGTACTAAAATAAAAAGTTGCGAATATCCCCAACATAAAGCGAAAAAAACTCAACATGTTTCACAGAAAAGTAGAAAAAAATAAATAATTAAATAAATAAAAAAACATGACATGTGAAATTGCATTTCAATTTTATCGTAGAAGTGACAAGAAATGGAAACAATTGAAAAAAAAAAAACTAAAAAGTAAGAGAAACAATTGAGAAAATGACATTAAAAAATCAACGTAACAGTTGGGAGGAAACTATAAACATAAACTGAAAATTTGCTGCACATGATTACAGTTCCAAAAAAACGCAAAAATAAATGATACATTTTTGCATTAAATTGCCATAATTTTGCAAATGGCAAGCAAAATTCACAATCATTATTATTATTATTTATTTTTATTTTTTTTTTTATCTTATAGTATATCTGACCTAAATTATGTGTAAAAAATGAGTATTACACACTCACACAGACACACACTCTGGGGAAAACTGTAACTGGGCACATTTGACGCTTTATATATGTGCAGCTAAAAGTCATGTTGTTGTTGTTGTTGCTGCTGTTGTTATTGTTGTTGTTGTTGCTGCTGATTTACATTTTGATATTTAATGTATAGGAGACCTAGTCGCTGCATGACGGCAAATACTCGGTAACGCGGGCTAAAAACAAAAGTGACGCCGCTTCCTTTATTGTCTCCGACATATCCTCCCATTGCATTGTGCAGCTGTTGTTGTTCCCCTTGTTATTGTTGCTGTTGTTGTTGTTGGTGTTGGTGTTGTTTGCCTGCTTTTGGCCCCGTTGTCCCACTTTGATTGTCCTTTAGGTCTGGGCTGGCATACAGAACGCGCATTAAACTCTCTTAAATACACTTGCACTTCACACACACACATATATATATATATATATCTATCTATATATATATATAGATATATCTATCTAGATATATCTATCTATATATATATATAGATATATATATACTATATATAATGATAAATAAATATATATATTCATATATGATATCTACATACTCTGTATATACATATATATATATTTCTATTTGTTTGTTTACTGCGTGTGCTTTAGTAGGGCTTAACTTGCTGGCCGCAGCTATCGCCATCAAATCGAGCGGAGACACAACTGCGCATACACACACACACACACACACACACACACATACACACACACACACACACACACACATACTCGGCCATTCATATATACACATTTGCATATTGGCAAACATAATTGTATGCAGCCTGTCTAAATAGCAATTACATTCGCCTCTCTCACTCACACTCACACACACACTCTCTTTCTCTCTCTCTCTCTCTCTCTCCCTCGCTCACTCATCTCACTCTCTTGGTGAACTACATCGAAAATGCAGCAACAAAGTAACCAAAAAAGAGAAAGAAAATTAAGCGACGACATCGAACTGCACAACAACAACAACACCAATAATAATAATAAGAAGAGGAAAAAGTACCCGCAAAGTATGCTTCGAAAAGTGTCAATGAAAGGCAGGTGCTTCAAGGGGTGGGGCCAGCGGTAAATAACGTTGCACCAACTGACTTAAAGTACGTTCTAAGAGCCACGCGTTAGCAATGTGTGGTGGGTGGCAGGTGGTAGGAGGCAGGGCGTGGTTGCTGGCTGATAGATGCATGGGGCCATGTTGTCGTTGTCGTTGTTGTAAATGTTTGCTGCTGGTGCAACATGCAACATGAAAGTGGCGGAGTCTTTGGCCGAAGACGGGAATACAGCTTGCGTGGCATACTTGTTAGTGTGTCATGTTCCAATAATGCCTCGATAATAATTTAGGCGCCTAACTCTTGAAATTCTAAGGATCTGTAGTTGGACTGTGGAAGACATATAGGAATTTTGTTTTCATTAGAGTTATATTTCACTTGACTGAGTGGACTTCTTACTTTCACAAATTTCCATTTTAATTTATTCAAATGTGGTCACATCTCTAGTTTAGCAAATAAATTATTTACTAAAATTTTCAAGCCGTAGAGTATTTTTATTAAAACTCTGTTTTCATAATACACACACCTAATGGTTGTTAGTAGGTTTTATTTTATTGAGCGCATACTCTGATTGCTGGTTGACCGCTTCAAATAGCTTTCATATATATTATTATCGAATAAACGCCTAGCCGGCCTTTAGGGGTGGCTCTATGTATGTTCCGGTATATGCAAATTGCATTGTTAACAGAACAGGCCCCCTCCGAAAACAAGTGAGCCAAAGTCTAATTATGTGTATGCTAGTTAGAATAATATATAGAGAGTCCTGAAAGAGAAGTGAAAACTGTGCTAGGGCTGGGCAGCAATATTGCCAATTTTTGTCTGAGCGTGTGTGTGTGTGCCATTATACAATGTTTGATTTGGATGGCATGACTTTTCATACGAAGCCGCGTCAATTTATGTCGTCCCAAATATATATACAAATATATATATGTTTATATATACATATACTGACCGACATTCTGTCCCATTGACTACAGACTTTGCCATCGTCATCGGCATCGTCATCGTACCGTCATCGTCGTCATTGCCAGCTTTGTCTTATTGTGTTTGTCTCAAAAACGAAAGCAGCCGGAAATGCTCGGTCCGTTGTATTTTGCTCCATATTCTAGTGTTGCCTTCCTCCCATATATATATATATATATATGCATTTATTTGTGTGTGCGAGGTGTGCCTCATTATGCATATAAGCGGCTCTTGCCTCTCCTTTACCTTTGACCCGCCCCTTCATCCGTTTGCCTACCGTTCTCTTTCGCAGAGGTTGCACACAAACAAATGTGATGGTGTTTATGTGTGTGTGTGTGAGTGTGTAATTACTAGGCATTTCTGTCAGTTTCACCTCGTGGCTGTTGCCTCTTTTAAGTCTATTCCTTTCTTCTGTTTTTATCACTAGTTTTTGTTCTCTTCTCTCTCTCTCTCCCTCTCTCTCTCTCTCTCTCTCTTTCTTTCTCTCTCTCCCTCACTCTCATTCTCCCTCTCCATATATCACTCATTTTATGCTGTCTCAATATATTTGGGTTTTCCTTTCCGCGACGTTTCGTATGCAATTTTCGTATTTTCATTGTCTGCATTTGTGTGTGTGTGAGTCTTTGTTAAATGGCAATCTTATTTCTACACTTGTATTTGTCGGAAAAGTAGGACACTCTGATGCAGGTAGAGGCATTTGGAGTCTTGTGGCATGCAGCATGTAGGACAGAGAGGTGGGCGTCGCGACCACTGAAGGTGTATACGGTTGTGTCGCGCAGGCACGAAATGTGCAACACAAAAGTTTCGTTATTATTGGCTTAAAAGGTGCAATTTATTGCAGCATTATTCAATGAAACCCCGCATCTCCCCCTCCCCCACTCTTCCACTCTATTTCTTTGACTTTTCTCTCTGATTCTCTCTCCCTCTCTCTGGCGCGTAGTGTCTTCTCAAGCTAATAAAGCATAAAACAAATAAATGAATGCAAAAATAATTATTCAATATTTTAAAAATATATTTGTAAAGCTTAACAGCAAATATTCAATTATAAAAGTTTTTGCCATTTTTATTAAATATTTTATTTTGATATAATTCCATTTTTTGTTTCCTTATTCCTTTAATAATCTGATCATTCGTTTTTTAATGGTTATTTTCTTTGTGTGTGATGCGCGTGACATATGCAAAGAAAAGAAAAAAGAGTTTCGATTTTATTGATTTGGAATTCTTCTCTCGTTATAGCACATACAAAGTCGTCGGATTGCATTCGATAATGGACAAAAATAGAGAAAAATGAAGCATTATCGTTTGAATAAATGAAGACTTAAAAGATTAAAGACAAGAGCGAACAAAAATGCATTAAATACTCATATATATATATATATATATATATATTTAATTATAACCTTAATAATAATAATACATGAAGCTCAAATAGACTGAAATAGAGTCCAAATATATTACGAAAGTAAATGCAATTAATTATACATATCATACAAATAATTAGCAATTGCATTTAAGTTATTTAACATAAACAAATAATAAAAGCCCGAATCGACAAAAAACAAAAACAACAACAACAAAGAGGTCTAACTCTGAAACAAATCAAATTACAAATGCAACAACAATATTTTGATGTTTATTACGCTCAACAACAATAGCAACAATAATAATAAGCTGCGTGTGCAAAAGTGACGTCAACAACAACAAAGTAGACAATTCGTCGAAAAGTGTGTGTTTTGCAAGTGGGGCAATCGAGATTGGCGCCATGTGACTGAGCAACAACCGACAGTAATAAGAGCAACAACAGCAACAACGATAATAATTACAACAACTCGCTACACGCGGCGCCAAGCAAACGAAATATAATTCCAAAACAAAAAACAAAAAGAAAATGCGAAAAACTTTACGCGCCTAAATCTACAAGGGAGCAACAAAAACAACAACAACGACAATAATAACAACAAAAACAACATCAACGACGACAAAAGCCAAAAATCAAATTCAACCAAATACGAGCCAGGTGAGTTGTTCGCGCTTAGTGAATTAATGGCTGGGATGTGGGCCGAGCTGTGGACTGCTCGAGGGGAGAGGGATAAATGCTGCTGATTGATATTCTACAATATTTAAAATAATTTGCCTTCGATTCGAAAGATTCCACAGATTCTTTTCACGCCCATTGACAGCTAGGGAAATTGTGTGTCTCTGTGTGGGTGTGTGTGTGTTAACGGAAATTGTATTGTGGCTGAAGCATTTGAACTATTCATTCAATCAATTGGAATCCCATAAAATAATCGTTTAATATTAATGTATTTTTTCACAAGTGTCTGTACTTATGTGTGAGTTAGTTAGTTACTTTTATATTTAGGTATTCAAATTGATTTCATTGAAAAAAAAAAAAAACAGAATTATTTATAGCATTTTCTTTGGTAAATAATAAAGTAAATTCTAATGATAGCCATAACTAATATTCTTGAAGAAACTCAAAACGTTTTACAAATATTGTTATAAATTTAACATTTTATTTGAATGAATTTAATATATAATTGGAAACAGAAAAAAATACTCAGTGAACAACTGAATATCTGAGTCAGATCCAATAATAATTAATCACTGTGAAATCAAATTAAAATGATTTTTTAATTGAGTTTTAAAGGCGAGTCAGAGCTGAATTACATTTTATATTTTTTTTATGTCCAATTTTAATGGAATTTTGTGCTCGTTAAAAAAACTACTAATTACTCTGAACAGGTAAACGAAATTTTTGTTTTCGTGTCGGTTAACAGGATGTCACTTTCAGAGATCGACTTCCAGCGACCGAAACAAACCATAAATAAAAAATAAATAAAATCGGTGGCAATGTCTAAAAAATAATTAATAAAATAGGTAAAATGGTTGCGCTATGGATATTGCCACGTTGTTGAAAAGCAAGCGTATTCCCAAAAAAGCACTAACACTTTATGGTCACGAAGCAAATAAATTTTATAAATGAAAACCTGAAAAAAAGGAGAGCAAAACAAAAACCGGGTACACAGTTATTTGTAGAAAGCGTTGCAAAACTACAAAATTGTATTTCGTAGTTTAATGGCCAACACATTTTCATTTTCATTCATTGGACTCGTTCATTGAGAACGGAGCAACTTGTTCCCGACAAATGCCAATCAGTCGTACGTACTTGCACATGTGAATCGTCAAAATGACTGTGTGGGTGTTTGGGTGTTTGTTGAGGCCTAATCAAACCAAAGACTTGCCAAAGCATAAAAATCTCGAACACTTCCGGTTCTCACACGATGTTTTCAACAAGCAATCGAACAAACAAACAAAACAACTGACTACAGGAAATTTAGTATCGATGAGAGGAAATTCTTCCAAGCAATTTGAAAAATTAAATAAATTATACAGCAATTCTATAAGCGTCCCACAGATACACACAAAATACAAAATATGATTATGTTTGTCATAAATTGTCAAAAACGGGCAACAAAGTGTTTGATAGTTCTTTAAGAAGCATCGAAAATATTATGTGGTAATTGTGGTATGTGTGAAGTGTGAGCATAAATTTAGTCATAATGAAGAGCATATGCTTGCTATCAGCTGGAGAAAATTGAAATATATTTTGCTGTTAACTTACTTGGGGCGAATCGAAGTTTTTAACTTGTCAATTGAACTTGCTGAATGGGAAGGAAATGCATTCGAAAATGTAGTACGACAAATAAAACTTTGCCGTATGATTTCCAACAATAACAACAAGAACAACAGCAACACACGTACACATCATCCATATTTACACAGAAGGCACCATTCCCTCCCTAACCCCACACCCCCCCCCCCCCCACCTTTCCCCCCACTTGCTGGGCTGGTGAACGTTTCTGGCTTGTCGCCTGCCACTTTGTGGCAATAAAAAGGTCGTTTATAAACAAGCAAACATGTCTAGAGATGTTTTGTTGCTTTTATTATTGTTATTGTTGCTGCATATCACTCAGCGCCTTGTCGGCTCCTACGAGCGACTCTGATGCCATTGCCCAAAAGCACAAAACTCAAAAAGTTAAAAATATATGTATATATATATATATATATGCGACTCACAACCCTCGAGTTGGAGTCATAAAACTAAAATCAAATCAAATCATAATCAAATAAAAGTACTTTCAACTTGCAGCAATTCCATTTGTCAATTGCAACTAATTCTATATCAATCATTATAGAGTTAGCTGAAAGAAAGAGCATACAAACTTCGATGTGTTAGAATTTTATACATTTTTCGCATTTCTGTTGTGTGTCATGTATTTTATATATTTTTAGCTTCACGCTACGTTGCTGATAGCAGCAGCAGCAGTTGCCGTATAAAGGTGCTGTAGATAGATTGGAGGGGTTGTTGGGGTGGTGGGGGTAGTGGGGTGTAGAACAATAAAAAAGCACGTGCGCTTTTGCGCTATTGCTGATGAATTTTTCGCTCAAAGTCGCTGTTTTTCCAGCACATTGTGTATACATACCATCAGCCCATATGCATGTATGTCTTCAACTGAGACATGCTGCATAGTTAATGCGATTATTGAATATGCTATTGTTTCTACCATTAGTCCTTTTGTTATTTATAATCATCCATAGCGCTGCCAATTATTTTTTCTCTCAATTGCAACTGCGGCACATCGAACAATAAAGGGGGACTGCAAAAGTTTGTTATTTCGCATTGGCTGTTGCTAATTTGGTGCTGGCATTGCTTGATTGATTGATGAATGGGTATATACGAATACGAATAAATACCCAATGGTATTGTGTATTCTGTGGACTGAATTGCTATTTCATCAATTTAACCAATGTATTTGATTTGACATGGATATTTCATGGGATTTCTCGTGGATGAGGTAGAAAACAAACTGCGAAGGAAACCATCAAAGCTGTTATTTTTTCATGTAAGTGGTAAAAATTTAAGTGTTGAAATGGGAATTGAATTAATATCAGATTGCAGATTGTCAGATCGCACAAATGATTTGGGTTTTGTGATTAGCCGGATGCGATATGAAAATATGATGATAGATAATTATATTTTTAGAAAAGGAAAACTTCTCAGCTCGTGTTAAGTATTATTCATACATACATATATATATATATATATATTAAAAAGAATACAATAGCCCATATGTGTATTCAGAAGAGTAAGTGCCTTTTATACACATCGAACTCCAATGAAGTTTAGTCAAAAATTCTTACAATCGAATAGTTATGTCATGAAAATGTATTAACAGTAACTCAAAACAGTATCTGAGCTCTGTCTAACATTTCGATAATTTAGATAATAAATATTGAAAATACACATATCAAGCCTCATTGTAAACCAACCATAGAAAACAGAATCATTTTTGGTTTACATCAAATAAAATAAAATTGATCTGATTTGATGAAATTGTGGGTGGCATCTCTGTGTTCATTGCAGTGCAAAACAGTTCGGATTACAACTGGACTTAGAGCATTCGCAATTTTGACAGTTCGATGATTTTGCCATTCATTGTATTTTAGTTGTGTGGTTGCTGTGGGCAAGAAGTCAACATTGAAAATGTCCAAAAGGGGTATAATGAAGTTGTGCAAAAAAATGTTACAGTCAAAAAGAAGCAACTTTGACCCAATAAAGGATATATATTTTGTTGATCGGTGTCAATAGGCGAGTCGATTAAAGCGTATCAAAGCAGATTAAGGTTACTCCTAACTTTTCCAAATATCGATTACCGATACCTTTTAAAAGCACAAGATACTACTTACCAATTAGCTAAATTCATTGATGTCGAAATTGATTTAAATATATAAATAGCTAAGTAGTGTGAGACGTATGCTTATGTAATGACTACGGTTCAGGGTATCTTATAGTCGAGCTCTCTAAACTATTGAATCAAAATATGTTCTTTTTTGGTAGGCTGTTTTTGGCCTTTTTGTTAACATGAGAATACATATCCATGTATATACATATGACATTTGTACGCTCATCCAACTTGTATTTTGCGTGGCTCAATTTTGGGGTTACTCGGGAAATATATGATATTTACCATTTAAAGCGTGGAATGTTATTATTACTGCTTACAAATGGCTTTCAATGAAATTTAACAATCAGTTGCACATTTCTCTTTGCTTCCCTGTTAATTTTTTCCGTCGTTTGTTTTTTCTTAATAGGTGATAATTTATAAACTTGTAAAAAGTGTTGCTCTGCATGTGTGTGTGTGTATGAGTATGTGTATTGGTTTTTTATTTGGCCAGACAAAATTTATTCATGCGTCTCTGCAGAAAATACAACAATAAAATAGCCTTATTTATTGTGAATGGTAAAAAGTTAACTTTATGGATGGCTACTGCCAGCGAGCCC